GCTACTGACTTCAAATGCAATCTATTTACACACTTGTGAAATCGATTGCACACTCAAAATATTTAAATTTCTAGCTGTTGAAACCCCGTGCAATCAATTTACACAAAGGGTGCAGTCGATTGCATGCTGAACGATTTTGAAAAACAGTGGCTTTACACATGCCTGTTCATAACACCAATTCATGGAAACCTTTCACTCAATCTTGGAAATTGTTCATGATTCATTTACAGAACTTTATGCTATTTTAAAAGGGTGGTATGAACATATAAATACTCATTTTCAAAATCATTTTAAGTACCTCTTCCAATCATATTTTTTGAATTTTCAAAAATCAAACTCAAGCTGTTATACATTTTCATACACAACTTTTCTGCACACTTTCACATATTGTCAACCAGAAAACTTTGAGCATTATATATATTGAGTCATTGTATACTATTATCATTGGAAGAGAAGATCAATTCATTGATTAAATCACTCAAAGTGATCATTGCTACTCATACTCACTCAAATCAAATATTGTTATATACTTGCTTATTTTTCAGGATTGTTGAAAATAAGTTCAAGTGATTTTGAAATCTTGTTTTTCTAGGATTGTTGGATACAAGTAAAGTCATTGTGAGAGTATTTTTCTCATTGTTGACATAGTTAAAATCCAAGAGGATTGTTCTTGGTCCAAGAGGATTGTTCTTGGTGGTTTTATTGGTTAGAGTCTTGTATAGAAGGACTAGGGTGTCTTTTCTAGAGAGCTAACAATAAGGAAATCTCTTTCATGTTGAAATGGGACTGGAGTACTCTCGGACTGTAAGGGGAACCATGATACATCTATGTGTTCTTTACTTTTCCGCATTTACCGCTTTCATCACTAGTCATAAACCAGAAAAGAAAGAAACACATTTGTGAACTCATGCACTAAACTAGAAAAATAATATCCATCATCATTAAACCAGAAAAATTTTAAAGTACCTAATTCACCCCCCTTTTAGGCACACTCTTATACTTACATGTAAGACATCTTCATCTATTGACAAACAATGTGAACACACTAGGTTATGCCTTCCAAGAAGGATCACTCTCCTTGCCAGCTCAATTATTTTAGGAAGCCTTGTTAGTAGTAATCTCCAACCAAATAAGTAAATCTTGCTAGGCACTTTTGTTTTACAAAGCTTGTCCAATCATCTCAAAATATCTTCAACAACAAAGTTGGATATTGGACATTGGATAACTAGAGGCCTGGGTCCCAACCAGTTGAACTTCCAGACTCTAATATATTTTCCATTTCCTAACTTACAACTGATATACTTGTTGAACCAATTTCGCTCTTGTAATATACCCAAGCCCTCAAACTTCACATACCTCCACTATAAGGAATCTTTACTACCTTTCATGAAATTTACGGCATCACGTATCGTGTCTTTAATATCACCATACCTATATGATAATAAACTAGACCATATATAAGCATGTTCATTCAAAAAAATTCAATGCCACTTGCTATTGGATGTACATAATAAACATCTTAAACAATAGGCATTTCTGGAATGTAACGATTGACTATTTCGTAGGCCTAATTGATTACGTGAAAAGGCGTAATTGATTACACAAGGAAATTTTAGTTCTGCTATTTTGTTTATCACTTGCATAATTGACTATGGTGTTTGGCGTAACCGATTGCGAACCCGTGCTTGGGTTTTTAAGCTTATTTTTAAATTGTTTTGTTTCCCAATTATTTTGATGGCTTGTTTAAATATACCTCAAGTTGTAACATTTCAATTAATGCCATTTGTTACATATTTTCTACTCAACCTCAATTACTCTCTCTCTCTCTCTCTATTATTTTCATTCCATCTTCTCCAATTAACACAAATTCTCCATTGATTCACCAATATAGCTTGTGTATGTTCCAATATTTGGCATTAAGAGCCTTGGTTCTGATCTATAATCCACTGCAAAGATTAATATCATTTTCAATGGTAGAGTTCCCACCAACCTACTGATTCTTGATCTGAAGAATTACAACAAGTGGTCAAAATAAATGAAGATTTTGTTTGGGTATCAAGATGTTCTTTAGGTGGTCAAGAATGGAGTTACTCCACTTGAGGCAGAAGGTACAGATTCTCAGAAGGTCGCATTCAAGGAAGAGAATAAGATTGATTATAAGGCACTCTTCTTAATTCATTCTCATGTCGATGGTGACAACTTTAAAAAAGTTAGCGATTGTGATTCAGCGAAGCAAGCTTGGGAGATCTTAGAAAAAGCTTATGCAGGGGCTGATAAAGTAAATATGGTAAGGTTACAAACTCACAAGAGGAAGTTTGATTTGACTCAAATGGAAGATAAGGATACGATAAACGATTATATAATGCAAATTACGCGTTTGGTGAACCAAATTAAATCTTGCGGAGAAACTATTTCGGAGCAGAATATTGTGTTGAAGATCTTGCATTCTTTAACATCAAGATTCAACAATATTGTAGTGACAATAGAAGAATCAAAGTAACTTTCAACGTTGATTTAATATGAGCTTCAAAGCTCCCTTGAGGCTCATGAACAAAGGATGAATGAAAGGGGAAATGACAAGGCTAAAATGGAGATTGCTTTACAAGCACAGTTCAACGAGAAGGGTAAGAGATCGAAAGGAAAGACAAATTTCCAAAATGTTGGTGGAAAAGATCCACAAAATTCGAAAGTTTCAATGGGGAAAAGAGGTGAGAGCAGCTCCAAAGGTAGTGGTCAAGACAACTACAATAAGAAGATTGACAAGAGTAGTGTGAAGTGTTACAATTTTCATAGACTTGGTCATTTTGTTAGAGATTGTAATGCAAAATCAAGGGAAAATCAAAACTAGGATGATAAGGTTACTCAACAGGAGGTGGATGAAGAAAACAGGTTTCTGATCATCATGATAGAGAAAAATTATGGCAGTAATAAGCTGCTGGACAACAGCAGTAGCAGCTGCAAGTTGCTGGACAATAACTGCAACAGTTTGAGAAATGATGCAGAAACACATTTGGAGTAAAATGTAATGATAACGGTTCAAGATGAAGTCTAAGGGAGTGATGAGTAGTATTTGAATTTTGGTTGTTCAACGCATATGACAGATAGAAAGGAATGATTTGTCAAAATCAATCGAGCCACAAAAATAAGGCTAAATTCAAGAGTTTGATATATATACAAAGGAAGGTGATAAAGTTTATATGAATGAATGGTTAGGATTGACATTACCTAATAAAAATCCTCTTGCAGTTATGCTTCAATCGCGTCTTCCATTGGAGCTTTATGAAAGTCTTTGATAATTCATATTTGAATTTAGTGTCTAAGAAATTTTAAGTTTTTATTTCAATAATATGCTCTAATATGCTTTAATTTTTTTTAAGTTGATTATGCGATTTCAAATATTTTTTAATTTGATCATTTAGTTAAATTTTTTGTTGAATTAACACATTTGTTTTAGGAATTATTTGAAATACATTGACGGTATAAAGATATTTTACACCATCAATTAATCACAATCGTTGATTTTTTTGTTGTAAATATTTGACTTTATTTTAAGTTCTTTTAAAGTAATACATCTGATTTGTTATAATATATTGATGGTGTAAATTTTTTTATCCTAGCGATATATAACAATTAAACTATTTTTTCTAGTGACATATTGCTCTTGAATGTCAAGTCATCTAATAATGGAAGAACTAAAATATTCTAAAAACTTAACTAACTAATGAAGAAAATATGAATTTAGGAACTTGCCAACATTTTAGATTTCAAAATTATGAATTTAGGGTTTGCAAAATTTCAGTTCCAAGAATAAGAACATGATTTTGAAAACAAAGACGAAATATGTTCCAACTTGTGAACACGACTTTGTTGAAAAACATGAACACAATTTTGTTGCATCACTATTTTCTCAAACTCACGAAACTGAAAAATAAAAAAAATCAATGTGATTCATTCCTTTATATTTATGAAGAAAGTTTAATTCAGTCATTTTCTCAATTTTTTTGTTGTTTACGTGGTTCGAGACCAATTGCATGTGACCTATATGTTCTATCAGCTTCTCTTTTAGAACATCTTTTGAAAGGGAACAACATCTTGGAATTACATTTTGGAAAAGTTGAAAAATGAATTATCAAAGTGGCAAGGGAAACACATGTCAATTAGAGCTAGGGTGATGGTGATAAATGCAATCCTAACTAACTTATCTATTTTTCATTTCAGTTTTTTTTCAAAGCTCCCAAAGTTGTAGTCTTTGATATTATTTATAAATTGAAAAGATATTTTTTGTGGGGTGGGGGAGATTTGAAGAAGAAAATTAATTGGGTTAGTTGGTCTATAATTTTTAAATCTAAGAAGCTTATAAGTTTAAAGGTCAAAGATAGTGAGAAGTTTAATTTGACTTCGTTTAGTAAATGGAAGTGGAAAGTGTTGTATGAACCTGAGTCTTTATGATTTAAGTTGTTCTCTTTTAGATATGGAGAGATACAAGCTCAAATGTGGGACTGTCAATGTTCAACTTCAGGAAAGAACCACTCCATTTGGTGGATAGATTCAGTTAGTTTAACTTCTTTGGGAGTGTAAAGTGTAATTAGTTTACTAAGGAAATTTCATGTAAGTTAGGGAACATGAGCATCATAAGGTTTTGGAAGCATGTCTGGCTTGGAAAAGATATGTTGGCTCTTCAGTTTGAACATCTTTTCTATTTTGTTGAGAATCCAAACATCCTGATTCAAGATGCATGGTACTGGCTTTGGGAAGATTGGTGCTGCAACTTGCAGGTGAATGGAAGTGCTCTTAGTGTGGAGGCTAAACTGTAGGATAACAAGCCTAATCAATTTGTGCATGATACTTTTGTTTAGTGGAAATTCAACTCTCTATTTTCCATCAAGAACAACTACAAGGTGTTGGAGAATTTGGAGCAACCAAAAGTTGTTGTGGAGGAAGAAACGTTGTTCGTTCTAAAGGCTTTGTGGAAGTAAAAATTACCTAGAAAAATACTTTTTATGTGGAAATTATTTACCAACAAGCTGCAGACCAAAGACGAATTACAAAGAAGAAACATCATCAACAAAGCGCATAATTTGGTGTGTCCTCTATGCTTCAAAGAGGAAGAAGACTTAGTTCATCTATTTTTCAATTATGAGGTTAGTCGTAATGTATCGTCTCAAATTAGTATTTGGTTGAGATGTGTTAAGTTTATTGTGGTCTCTAATCCAATTTATCATTTTGATCACTTTATGCCTGCTTTGAGTTTTGTAGTGTTATGGAGCTTGTGTTGGTCGGTTTGGTTTTGAGAATGTTGGTTTATTTGGTCTAGTAGGAATAGAATTCTCTTTGCAGGGGCTTTTGTTGACATTAAAGAGTTAGTGTATTTGGTGAAGCTTAGATCTTGGGAGTGGTTTGCTTTGTTTCATAAGAGTTGTAATGATATTCTTTGGGTTGACTGGTGTAGTTTATGACTATGGTTTTATTTTTGTTCGCGTTTCAAGTGTAATTAGGTTGAAGTACCCCTTATTACTTATTTTTAATTCAATTCAATTTGCGCATAAAAAAAAGAACATATTTTGCATGGACCAACTTTTAATGATATTTATTTATGACTTTTCCTTCCATTATTCGTACAAGGGGGATAAGTACAATTTGATGGAAGTTAAAGATCCTAATGGGTGGAATTTTATGAAATAAATTCTATGGTGGAAGGTGACCTTAAAATAAAAAAAGGTATATGTTGTGGTGGGTGGTTGATGAAGATGATAACTTTTCAATTTTTTTCGATTTGTGAAATTTTAGTCGACATTTCTCGTATAGCTCTCAACAATGATATAATTTTTCTTCATGTGATTATGCTGAGGGAGAAACTATGTCCCCTAACTGTAAGTCCTTAACTACTTCAAAGAGAATTAAGTACATACATGAAAATTTGAACTAATTACTTAATAAATGCATAAAAACAATGGAGATAAGATACCTAAATTGATTGTCTGATTGAGTGTTGTTTGAAATTTACATAATATGATATTTATAGAGGAAATTATTCTATTGGCCAGAACATTGTGACCTATAGAAAAATACTTCCTCAATCAACTATATATGTAGATAGTGCATGATATTTCCTACATTTTTAGAAAACATGATGCTTCATGTTTCATTAATATCTTTTTTCATCGATATGTTATGTTGACTTTATCCAACGTTCTCTCTCTCTCTCTCTCTCTCTCTCTCTCTCTCTCTCTCTTTCTCTCTCTCTCTCTCTCTCTCTCTCTCTCTCTCTCTCTCTCTCTCACACACACACACACACACACACACACACACACACACACACACACACACACACACACACACACACATACACACACACATATTCATGTGTATGTGGGTGCGTGCATGTTAAAATTTTTTGTTAAGAATCTGTTATCAATCAATTAGTGTTCATTGATATTCAATTAGTACTTAGTGTATATGATATTGTTTCCTATTGTATATTTCATATTTGCATATAAATATACATCACGTGTGATCATATTCGACATATACAAATACAATTACAACATGGTATCTAGATCTGGTTGACCTACTGTCTTCCATAAAAAAATTTCCTTTTTTTCCGGCCACCCACATCGCTATCGCCACTACCGCTGTCGTCTTCGCCTCTCTTGTAGAATTTTCGATGATATTCCTATACGACCAGAACCGTCTCCTCCAGATTGGCCGGATTCCAAAAACGTCACCGCCTTCCGCCGCCGCACGTGCCTCTTCTTCATCTCCGTGTGAATCTCATGCGCTGGACTTCTAGCCGTGCGTGACCGCACGTCCGTCGCCGCCTTTTTTCTAGCTGTCTTGGTTTTTGCTCCTCTTTCCATATCTGCTCTTGGTTTTTCGTTCTGAGCCATGAAATATCATGGGAGATACCGATTTCTTCGCGTTCATTAAAGTTCCACTTATTCCGTGTGAGAAACTGACTGGAACAACCAACTATAACATATGGGTTGGTGCTGTCAAGATGTGGTTTCACAGTCAGGAATATGAGGATAACTTAACTACAAAAGCTGATACTATTCTCGCCGCTAAAGCGATAAATGGAAACAAATTGATGCTTCTCTATGCACTGTATTATGGTTTTCCATAACAATTAATCTCAAAGCACAATACCAAGCCTATACCACTTGTTACGAGGTTTGGAAAAGGCTAAAAAAGTCTTCTCAAATGATGTCCATAGTCTTAATAATGTCATCACCAAACTCCGCTCTTTGAAATTGGAGAATATGGATATGCAAGACTACCTGACTAAGCTTGATGCGTTAAAGGAAAATTTCATAAGCTTAATGCCCTTTACAAAAGATGCAACAACTTATGTTGAACAAAAAAGTAAGTATTTCATGGTTCTGGAACTTGCTCGACTGCCATTTGAACTTGATTCCGTTAAAAATCAGATTATATCAGGAACTAACGTTCCTAACTATGAAGTGGTTAGTTAACAACTGTTATGTTTGGCTACACCTCATGCTTTTGAACTGGTTCCTACTTCCTCTCCCACTGAATCATCTGCTCTCACTTCCCACTATCATGGCCGTGGTGGACGAACCAGAGGACAGGGTGGACGTCTAAGTATTTGTTGTAACTATTGCAATCGTTACAATCAAATTGAAGCCTATTGTCGTACAAAGGTAAGAGAACAACAACGAAAACCACATATTTCTGTCGTTGCTCAATCGAATATCTCTAAAGATGTCACTATTCTTGCCGCTGATTACAATGATTTCCTTCAATACAAAGAAACCCATCAACAATCATCATCTGCTGTTGTTGCTCAGTCGGGTAATCTTGTATCCTTTGTCTCTACATCTTCTCTTAGTCCTTGGGTCCTTGACTTTGGTTCCTCTGATCATATGACTAGTAATAAATCTCTTTTATCTCACTTGTCTTATTCTGATTCTTTTCCTTCTGTCACTGTGGCATATGGTTCTAAAATCAAAGTTCAAGGCCTTGGTCAAGTACATCCACTTCCAAACTTGTCTTTATAGTCTGTCCTTTACATTCCTGGTTGTATATTTAATCTAATATATGTTCACAAGCTTATTCGTACTCTTGATTGTTCAGTCCTTTTTAATGATAATTTTGTTTATATCCAGGATCGATGTACAGGACGGACGATTGGAGTAAGGAGTGAAGCTGGACAATTATATAATCTTTCTCCACCAGTGGCATGTGCTTTTATTGCTTCTCAAGAATTCACTCATCAACGTTTGGGTCACCCTAGTCTTAATAAAATCCATCTTTTAGTTCCTAGTCTTTCTAAGCTTTCGCCTTTTGAGTGTCAGTCTTGTCAATTAGGAAAACATACCCATATTACTTATTGTCAATGAGTAAATAAAAGTGTTGCATCACCTTTTTATTTAGTTCACTCTGATATTTGGGATCCTAGTCGTGTGAAGTCTACTTTAGGATACAATTACTTTGTAACTTTCATCGATGATTACTCACGATGCACTTGGTTATTTCTAATGAAAAATCGTTCAAATGTTTTCCATATCTTCCAAGAGTTTTATGCTAAAAAATTAAAAACCAATTTAACACTTCAATTAAAATTTTATGCATTGATAATGCTTGTGAATATATGTCATCCCAGCTTCAATCTTTTTTAACATTATAGGGAATTATTCACCAATCATCATGTGCTCATACACCACAACAAAATGGTGTTGTTGAATGAAAAAAAATCGTCATTTAGTTGAAACCGCACGAACTCTTTTACATCACCATAATGTAATCTCTCATTTTTGGGGTGATGCTCTCCTCACCGCATGTCACCTTATCAACTGAATTCCTTCATCAGTCCTTCAAGATCAGATTCCATACTCTATCTTAAATCCGCAATAGGATCTCTACCACATTCCCCTTCGCGTTTTTGGTTGCACATGCTTTGTTCATGATCTTAGTCCAATTAAAGACAAACTTTCCGCTAAATATCTTAAATTTATTTTTCTAAGCTACTCATGTATACAAAATAGATATCGTTGTTTTTTCCTCAACTTCAACGGTACATTGTCTCCTCCAATGTTACATTCTTTGAAGGTTCATCTTTCTTCTCTGCCTCTTCATCACCCGATGAAACTTGTAATTTAGATGATCAAGATATCCCTTATATCATCCCCACTCCCATTAAACCTCCTTTTCAGGTATATCAATGACGTACTTCGCGTTCATCGACAGTTAGAGATGCTATTGATCCACAAGCACCATCCCCTACTCCAATTGTTCCTCCAACTACGTCACTTGAACTTGACCTTCCAATAGCATTACAAAAAGGTATTCGATCTCATAATCCAAATCCTAAATATGTGTGTTTTAAATTATGACAGTCTCTCTAATTCCTATGTTTCTTTTGTGTCTGCTTTGGATTCTGTGACTATCCCTAAGTCTACAGATGAAGTTATGATTGATCCCAATTGGCGCCAGGCGATGTTGGAAGAAATGGCTGCCTTGCATTCGAATAACACTTGGGACATTGTTCCTTTTCCTTCAGACAAAACTACAATGGGATTTCGATGGGTTTATACAGTGAAAGTTGGACCAGATGGTCAAATTGATCGTTTTAAAGCTCGTTTGATAGCCAAGGGATACACATAAATATTTGGCCTTGATTATGGTGACACTTTTTCTCCAGTGGCCAATATTAGTTCATTCTGTCTCTTCCTTGCAATGGCTGCTATTAATCATTGGTCACTTCATCAGTTGGACATTAAAAATGGCTTTTTACGCGAAGAATTGGAGGAGGAAATGTATATGGATCAACCTTCCGGTTTTACTGTTCCTGGTAATTCAAAACTTGTTTGTCGGCTTCATCACTCTCCTTATGGGCTGTAACACTCTCCACATGCTTGATTTGGTCGCTTCAGTTATGCCTTGATAGAGTTTGATATGACTAGATGTGAAGAAGATCACTCTGTTTTCTTCCTTCACTCTTCCACCGGTCAACATTTTTTCTTGTGGTTTATGTTAATAACATTGTTATCACTGGAGAGAATACAAAGGGTATCCTGCGACTCAAAACTCACCTTTTCAAAAACTTTCAGACAAAAATATTTGGGTCCAATCAAATACTTCTTAGGTATTGAAGTTGCTTAGTCCTCATCAGGCATTGCAATTAACCAGCGTAAGTATGCATTAGACATCCTAACTGAAACTGGTATGATTGACTGTCGTCCGATTGATACTCATATGGATCCCAACGTCAAGCTTCTTCTAGGTCAGGGGGAGTTGTTGAAATACCCGGGAAGATATTGATGTCTAGTGGGTAGACTCAATTATCTTACCCTCACCAGACCGAATATTACTTTTGCAGTGAGCAATGTGAGTCAATTCCTGAA